AATGCCTGCGATGCATGCTGTAAGAAAGATACAATCCCAAGAATATGAATAAAAATACAATGTTTGTAAGTAATCACAACTCAAAACAGTCGATTTTACAAAAAAGTTTTATTTTTTGCTTAGGGATTATGATACTGTCTACAAGAGCGGCATAAATTGAAATATTTACCCTTACTCGACTAATTTGTATTCCGGTGCTATATTATTGATCTATTAATTAAAGTAAAATTATCTCAGATTGAAAGAATCCAATGAGTTTTTAGTACAAGTGATTATGGAAGATTTGTACGAGATACACAAAGAAAAAGTGAATTAACATCAAACCGATTCTTCTATATGTTGTCTTTTCGACTTTTATTTTATAGACAGATGTTTTTTCGATTGTTTTTCTGTTGTTTATTATTCTGAACAGAGCAATAAGTCAAAATAAAATATTAGATCTCTTATTTATTTCTCAGGATTGACTAAAAAAGTAGACTTCGCAAAGATTCCTTTCAATTCGCATATCTTTAAAAGTCGCATCATTCTGATCCTGAAACATTTTATTTTTTACTAGTGATAATAATTATTAGCTATAACCAAGGGGGAAAAATAATACCACTAAACGTTATAGTGACTTTGTAGTGGCCACGCGTAATGAATGGTAGCATGCAATAGATATCCTTCCAGCTCAATGCATTTCGAAGGTTATGTTTCTACTTTATAGATTATTCTACTGATATGACACATACGTTCCTCACCATTTAAAATATAAAAGCTATTTCCGAGACACGTGCTGAGATATCAAAGAGTTAAGTCGTAACAGTTTTATCGTATGATGTAAGAAAAGAAGGAGAACAACGTACTGCTGGCTAGCATGAAATTTCTGACGACTGCCCGTCGTGTGAAAAATATGCAAAACGATGAAATGACAGCCCGAAAAGGCGAAAATAAAGCTGAAATTACATATTAGCATGCCTCGATATGACGGATGGCAGCTATTTTTTCGGTTTTTCTTAAATTCAACGGTGGTCATCTCACTGCAAATTTCAACTTCGCTAAAGTAACTAGAATATCAGTTATTTTCTGGCTGAACAAGCCAGAAAAATGAATGAAAATCCTTTGTCACACTATAGTGCTGAAAATTGTTACCGCAGTGGCTGGTCTTGAATAGCTCGCCAGGACAGCAACATACACACACACGCTTGTGTGTTACTAATACGACTATTCCCTCTTAGCTTTACTGAAAGACACACCCAAATTTCTCAGGTCATTCTTACGCTACTTGAAAAGGATCAATCATCAGTCTGTCATACACTGATTTCTGGTTTTAAATTGTTGTTGTCTGCTTTTTTTCTTAGCTTGATTTTGTCTGAAAATATATTGGAGATTGTTTTCTGAAAGCTTCTATTTGTTTTCCGTTCAACATTTATTTGAAAACATGTCAGGTAACGATAATAATGATGATAATGGTGACAAAGATTTATCCAATATGAATGGTTAAGAATTTTTACGATTAATTGAAAAATCATTTTGTCCAAGTGTTAGAAAAATACTAAAACAGAAAAAAATGAAACGAGAAGGGATTAGCATTGATATAGTCGCCTAGAAATACTTTATTATCGCTCTTAGTCACTTCTAAGAATTGTCTAAGTAATGAATGTGTAGCAGATACACTGTAATATCGGGAATTATTCATAGAAAATGCTCGGCGATTTTCAAAAAGTCCATATATAATTTTCTTGAGGATTTTCTAGATTCTAGAAAATAGAATTTACAGGAAACTCGATTTTCCAGCATTCTGGAAATTTCTCGGCGATTTTATATATGGACTCTTGGAAACTCAAAAAATAGAATTAATTTCCAGTTATCCGGAAAATCGCCGAGGAATTTCCATATTAGTGCTTGTGTAGCAATGAAGCTACGCTAAAGACAATTTAAAATTTTAGACATGTTGTAATACATTAAAATTACACCCTAAATTCTCATAACGCGCTTTGGGATTAACTAACGCTTTTTAACATTACCTTCCGAGATTAAAAGCGCGTTTATGAATTACAATAACACCATTGGAACGCATCGAAAGGTCAAAAAATATGTCTTTTACACATTAATATTTTCTAAAACATCATTTCTGTATCGACAAAACGTTTTACAACACGTTCGCAATTCGTCTAGAAAATTTTGAAAACTTTCGCAGCATTATGATATCTGTGTGAATGCAGAGATGACGTTTTAACAAATTTTGACCCATAAAGACATATTTCTATTGACCTTCGGACGCATTTCAGTGGTGCTATTTTAGTCCTTAGACGCGTTTTTTATCTCTGAAAATAATGTTAAAAAAAAGTAACGTTGGTTAATCCCAAATACGCGCTATGGGACTTTAGTGTATTTTTAATGTATTGTAATATGTCTAAAATGTTATAAAATTTTGTTGACATGTCTAAGCGTGTTTGTTGTTTGAGCGCAGAAACAACGCGTTTTAAGCATTATGGAAAGCAAACAGTACGCTTTCCCTAACGCGTTCACTAAAATGCATTTAGATGCGCTTGAGTCAAATAAAACGCGTTTTTGAAGCGCAGTTGAGCTTTAAGTAGTAACTTTTAAAATCTTTATCATCTGAAATAAAAAACAGTATAAAAGACGGTAAAGTTAAATTCAAATCCAAATTATAAGACTAAGTGCAGGAGTGAGTACTAAAATCTGACGAAGATTCAAAACGCCTGCAACTGCCGAGAATGTAATGGACTATAAACATCTGTGAGCTTTAAATGGATGTGTTAGATCAATAATCTTTGTTGAAAGAGGTTCGTGGACCCTGGAAATTAGCGTACCCTTTTCTCAAGTAATAGATCCCTAGTAGAATTTCTGTTTAATTTTATTCACATAAAAGTATTAACTTATGACTTGCACATAATATGACTGATCCACGTATACCGTATCATCTTCGAATTTCCATCAATCTTGAAAATCGATATTGATTTTCAAAAAAACTGGAAAATCCATTTCGACTTCAAGAACCTTAGAAATTATTTATAGAAAATCGATCGATTTTCTAGAATATTACAAAATCAAACTCGAATTTCCAGTATGCAAAAAACCGACGCCGAATTTTCATATTTTTGGAAATTCTATGCCGATTTTCTGAATAAAATGAAAAGTAAATTTAATAGAAATTTACGAATTTTTAAAAAGCCAGAAAATCTACGATCACTTTATAAATATCAGAAAAAGCCCCGCGATTTTCCGAATTGATTTTCTATAAATTGAAAATTAATCCCAAATTGCAGTGTATGTAGTTAGCTGTAGTGGATGTGTAATGGGGTGTAGTGGGACATAGGGACATGTGGTCGACAATTCCTTGTGGTGTAATGTTGTTTTTCCCCGCTTGGCATTACTCTCAAAATACACCAAAAAACGTTCAAAAGTCGATATTAATGACCCACACACTAGCGACATTTATTAGTGCATAAAATGAATGAGCGAGGCTTTGTCGTTTATGTTTATTGGTGCTAAAATCTCAAACAATCAAGATGGATCATTCAAACAAGACCGAGCCATATATATAGATATAAATTTATACACTGTTCCAAAAAAACACGGATCAAGAGCAAAATTCTAGGGAAGATGTGTAGAACAACCGCACTTGAGAATTTTGACCATAGATAAAACATGATAATGCTACACATCATCCGTAGAATTTTTACACTTCAAGTGTGATAGAATACAAATCATGATTTCTTTACACTTGAAACATGGAAACACTATGCACGATATGCGGCATTCATACTATGCTTCAAGTGTGGTATGAAACAGTTTTTGCTTTTTTTATGATATGTCTTAAGCACGTAACTTCCATATTCCAAGTGTATGCTTTCTTTGTTACTACGCTTCAAGCGTTAGAAGATAGACGCCATCTTGTTTCTTTTGTTCTACGTTGAAGGTCTGTCTTCTAACTAACTGTTTTTTTGCAGTTTGACTTGCAACATGCGTTATTTAGGCAATATTAAAGGGTTTATGAATTCTTAAATTATAACAAAATTAGTCGTCATTTTTATCTAAAGATTTCTTTTATAGATCCGAATTAATTTTTCTTTTTTCTTTTTCTTTTCTTCTACATTTATTGAGAATCAGATACTTTTGGATATTTTGTTTTACTTTTAGTCTTTAGTAAGTGGAAAGACCTTACGGTGCCAGAAGCAGGAAAGGTTGGCAAATGATTGATTGATTCATAGGCAGGAAAATAGATACGATAACCATTTAATGAGTTCCAACTACTGCTGAATCTGTTCCAAAACGACGGGTTTACATCGGCTAGTTTGAATCACCTGTAAAACAACGTTTTCGTGTGACTTCACCTGTAATGAATATATCTGTAACTTTTGTCTTCTAAAACGGCAATATGCTAAGTATTGCAAGTGTTCATTCTTTTCCTTAGAAAGGCTTTTCAATGTAGAATTATTTCTTGGCAATGGGAATATTCTAAGTTAAGGTATTAAAATTCCACGCCTGAAGTGTAGAAATTGCACTACTTCAAGTATGTCACTGTAAAAATGTTATACACTTCAAATGTAAAAATATCATGGATGAACCATCACTTGCCCATGCCTCAAAATGTGGGAATTTTTTTTTCGAGAGTAGACTGGTTCTGCAGCTCCAAGCAGAGCGATACTACACTTGAAGCGTAGTTAATTCACATTTTCAGTGTAGTATAAGAACGCTCTACTCATTATAAGATGGTAAAACATAGATCCAATAGAATTGCAGTACGACATGTTAAGTGCGTAAAAAGGTAGCTCACATATAGTACAAACACGGATGTGGCGTAGTATGTCCATTATTGGGCGTTCCTTTTTGTACGATGTTTACCATGCTACATCCGTGGTTTTTTTACATTCGAAGTGTAAAAATTTTTTACAGTGTATGCACTAAACTTTAAAAAGTGGTGTGTATATATTGACGAAAGGTTTTTCCGGTCAAAGTTTTCAAGCCATAACTAGTTATTAATAAAGTTTAATATGGCAAGCAATCCACGTACCCCAGAAACGACTCATAAAAGTTCAAATAAACACCATCAGAGAGAAGATAAATGCCAATCCAAAAAGCACGGTTTAGAAGAAAAAAGAAAGAAGCAAGATGAAGAAGACGTCGAGGATCAGGTATAAGAATAGACTTCAGCGTTTTTATTCCCACTTCTGTTTTTACTATAGAAAAGCAATCAAACAAATAGATTGCATGTCAGCAAATTGTACATAAAATTTGATTTTTCTATGTACAGACTACTTTATAACCTATGAGAAAAAGCAAGTGTCAAATTTATCTTTAAAAACGCTATATATGAGCAGAAGACTTGCCAGTTGTCGTAGCGGTTCTTCATTCTCATTTCGATGACACTAAACATTTTGGCCTAAAGATCTGTTAATGTTGTTTTTTCGTTTCAAATGGGATTCAATTCACATAGGGAACAAATTTAAATTTCAGCAAAAGAGTGTTTCCATTCCATTAAGGTTGCATCAGCTAACAACTGGGAAAGTGCTGAATTAGGCGATGAAGACCGAAAACAAAAATTTTTACGTTTAATGGGTGGCTCAAAAGTAGGTAGCAACGTTGCTCTTTGAGGCCAACATTTTCACTGTTATATACCGTCTTCTTGCAGAAACGAAAAGACGATCATGAAAATGCTGCAGCAGAAGGTAATGGTGGTAATACACTAGAAAAGAAGCATAATCGTTCAAGTAAGAGCTTTTCACACGCTGAATAAACAGCTTAGGACGATATTGTTTTTTTTTCTCAAAAATAGAAGAGCAAACAGAAACGATAAATCAAGCTCTCGAACAACAGTTTAATGAATCGTTAAATGCAAAACTAAGTGGTACTGTGCATCAGCATGGTGGACTGGGATTTCATGGTGCACGACCCCAGGGTGAAGATAACAATTGGGAACAACAATCGAAAATGCCACCAAAAATGAATTTTGTACCAGCAACTACAATAAAAACATCGTCGTCAAAGGAAAAAAAATCTACTGATGAATCGAATGAAGATAACAATTGGGAACAACAATCGAAAATGCCACCAAAAATGAATTTTGTACCAGCAACTACAATAAAAACATCGTCGTCAAAGGAAAAAAAATCTGTTGATGAATCGAATGATTCGAAAGAAAGAAAATCAAAACACAAATTATAAACAATGTACTTTTGCACTATGTTTTCATTTATTGTGTACAGTTTGTTTGTTATTGTCTGATATTCAGTGTACTAACATCCATTTTACGATAGAAAATGAATGAATATTTCTTCCATATCGCGAGAAGATGGAAACCTGAAGTTGTTACTAATATATAGTCGAGATCTGAAGTCATCGACTGATGAAAAACGATTATAAGAACATCATCTGAAGTTGGTGTATTTCATTAACCTGTGAAAGACTTGGTAATCAAAAGCAAGTCAAATCACTCGAACCTTTTATGAAACACCTATTTTCCAATGCACATAATACTATTGTCAGAAACTGAAAAATGATGCTTCTTTTAAAGTGAGTTTCAATTGAATCCATAGAAAATGTTTTATAAGTGGCTTTTCGGCTAACGAGGAAACCTCTCCAAATGTCCCCTCGTTTGTTCAATGAAATATAGTAGATTATCAGTAATCGACCATGCTGATTTCGAATATGATATTCATTTGGACCCATAGGTCTTTCCTAGCGGGTTTCTGGGAAACCAGAAAAATCCTCAAACTTGTAAACTCTATAACTTTGCAAAGGAAGATCGTACGGAGCTGGGAGATGTCTTATTTTAATCAGAATTTCGCGAGCTACAATCATGATTTATTCAGAAAACGTTTTGGGGATTTTTCGAGGTTCCTATTATAAAAAAAACACCGGTATATATACGTGCGCATACAATGAAAAAAAAGTATAGGACGTCCGACAGATGATAATATAATAGTCATCATTTTCTGGAAAAAGAAACATATCGGGCAAGAAAGTGGAGAGATGGTATGTACAATATGTATGCAAGAAATATCGAGAAAAAAGAATAAAGAGAGTGAATGTGATAGTCACGTATGTGACATGTGAAAGGCCACTGGTCTGTAACACGTATGAATAATGTATCTCTCGTCGAAAAAGCGATTTTGTCTGATTTAAGAGAAAAATGACGCTTTTAACGTTGTACAGGATCGCCTATAATGTCATATTTTCTTGAAAACAGGATTTTTACTAGATTTCGTCACTTTTACTATAAAATAAATATGACCACGAGATGAATGTTTGCATTCTAAGGTTACCCAAACGTGCTCAGACTCGGGGTTGACACTTATTTCAAAAGTATGGGACATTTAAGTTTTGGCAGAAGGTCTTTTGACGTAAAGAAAAAACTAACGAACAACTTTTTATTGTGCTCTAAAATTTGATTCATCCAAAGTTGAGGTTTTTTCAAATAAAAAAATATAACTCGGAAAAATAGAACAGAAACTTGGTAAAATAGTTACAAAAAAATCTCACGTATGAACTTTGGAATAGAAATACGCTTGAAATACGTTTTTTCTATTCAGACTGGATCTGAAAATTCCAGAAAAAGCCGAGTTCTCAACAAAACTGTGATAGATGAAAGTCTTGGGTTTGCTGGATCATGTAGAATGACACTTTGAAGTATCAATGGAATGAAGAGAGACAAATATTAGTAAAGAAAGATGTACATTGTACAATGACAAGTTCGTCTGGCGTTACACCATCTTCAAATATTATTAAGATCACTTTTTAGCTATCGATGACTTCAAGTCTTAGCTATACACTAGTGGAAACCATAGAGCTTTATCGCTCTTCTATCCAATGTTACTCGAAAAATTTAATTATTTTCTATTTTGAATTAGATAGTAGTTTTGTAACTAAACGTGAAAATGCTATCCGATTTTTAAAAACACTTAATATCGTAATGATGTTTATTTCGTTGTCATTGAAATGACAGTTCGACTTTTATGTTTATCTGCCAAATTATCATTTGTTGTGAAATCACATTTAATTATTTTGATTAATTCTTGTCGAAATTCTTTAAAAGTAATCAAATACAAAAAGAAGCTTGATATATGATATGTATATAATATTGAATCGAGTAAATGTAATAACCAATCTCTGTAAACTTTATTCTCTAGTTTTGGTAAGAAAAATGCATAGGCTATTGTTCCAGGTATTGTCATGATAGAAAATAATAATGTATAAATAACTAAAGTGATTGTTATTTGACGATGTTGAATTTTTGATTGTACCATTGATGTACGTTTCATTTGAAATAAATGATAGATAATTGAACTATTAAATCCTGACATAAGTAAAAATGGAATACAATTATAGAGAACTAAATTAACATAATCCCACATTGGATTTAATGCATAGAAAGTTGATCCTGTTTTAAGTATTGTTAGATTGTTTACACTATCCCAGGTCTTATAACATGTGAATATAAGAATGTGTGCATCAATTAAAAATATGATAAGTACCGTAGAAAATATAATAATAAGGACAGTTTTGTGAGAATTAATTTTAGTTCGATATAAATTTAGACTGCTCAATGCTATCAGACGATCTACACACGTACAAACACGAAGCCAAGCAGAAGTTTCAGCAGCAAAATAATTTAGAAATGTAAACAATTTACAGGTAGAGATTGAATAATGTTCAAGATCATAATCATATTTTGAAGTTAAAAAATGATCCAAATTCCATCCGTATAACATTAGAATATCAAACACAGCCATAGCTCGAAAATAATGCATTGTTGGTCGATTTTGAAAAATTGGACGACAGAAAATTAAAAATGTTAACAAGTTCAAAAGTGTGCCGCCAATAACAAGAACCAACGGATAATAGGTGAAGAACTCATCGAGCAAATGTTTGTCATCTGTCATATTATTCATTCTAAAATATAATCTAAACTTTTTTTCTTAAACAATATACTCTTACCAACCGTTTAATATCTCTAACATCAAAAAAGTCAATAGAGAGAAACAGAATAAATCAGTTTCACAATTATTATTATTTAGTCTGTAAATAATAACTGAGAGGATTAAATCAATATCAGATGTCATTGTCATATTTATTCTCATAAATCTATCTGACTCATCTAATGATGGGCATCAAAAGTAGTAGAAAACAATGCTACGAATTAAAAAGAAAAAATGATTACTTTCTTTACCCGTGACGTCAAAATCACCTAACTTTTGTCGATTTATCGCGATTCTGACTTAAAATTGTGACTAATCGCGATTGATCGTACGGTTAATCGGCGATTGTTTTTTGCTTGTTGTGACAGAAACACAGCAGAAAAATCGCAATCAATCACAATTTTACGTCAGAATCGCAATAAATCGGCAAAAGTTAGGCGGTTTTGACGCGTGGTTAGTGGTAAATAAGATTGCCGCCTTTTCCCACTTTTTGACTTTGTTTTCACTTTTTTTTTTCGTAATTCATCTTCAAAAAAGGTTATTAAATTAAGATTTTTCAAACAAAAAAAACATAAAAACTTTTTAAAGTTTTTAGACCTTCCTAGGTAAAAACCGTGGCGATCAAATAGAATAAGGTGATTGAAAGGCTCAATAAACAAACGATAGGATAATCTAAAAAATTGGTAAAATACATCATAAAATTCTAGTTCGTTTGTGTGTACAGTAAATTTTTAAACCTTTATTGTAACAATGTGCAGAAGATGTTTTGTTATTATCTTTTTCTCTTCTTTTGTTTTATTTGCATAAATGAGTTATTTCGCATAATAAGGGTTGCTACTTAGAGTAGATATGAGCGAGACCAAGGCTTTTTAGTCCCGATTGCGGAAGATTTTTATGATCCTCGTCCCGACCCTTAAAATAATTCTGCTCATACGGAAAAAATACTCTATTAACGTTGGAAGTCAGGAGTTTTCTGATCGACAGTTAATTTGTTATTTGTCCCTTAATGGATGAGGTATGCCGTATGTTTCTTCTTCTGATCATATAAGCAAAATAACCGGTGCATGCCTACTGTCTGTAAAAAAATAGGATGGACTTAGTTGTTGTTTGAATAACTTTCGATAGGAATGAGATAGAGACCTGCGACTTTCACCATCACGTTGCTAAGATCTTAAGACATGTTTTTGTAAGCAGAAACTTATTTCAAAATTTTCTGGAAGCCCGATTTTCCAGAGGATCTTTGGAAAACCATCTCAGTTCTCAGATAACTAACGTACAATGTTAGTAATTTTTTGCATGCGTAGGTAGTCCGAACGTTACTCTACAAAATTATGCAAGTCCCAGCTCTCCAGCTATCGTCTTTTGGACAGGGCTCGCTTTCTCGAGCACATGTCTATCTTCGAGCAGATATCTCTGGGAATCTCGAAATGCCATGGAATATAGGTAATCGACTACGCTGAGGATAGTGGCAACATTTGTTTTTGTGTAGAAATGAAAATAACTTCGCCAGATGCATTGTTGTGAAAAACCGGTTTTTACTAGCAAAAATTAAAATCCCTATATCTCGGTCAAATCTCATGCAGACTCAAGGAACCTTTCAGGAAAGACTTAAAAGGTGCCATATATTGTTGATCAAGCCGAAAAAGTGGCCCAGCAGAACACGGAGGCTTTGAGGTTTCTGGAAAATCTAGAATTCATGCTGGGTGAGGATTATGATTTGGTTTATAAATTTCAATAATTGCTTATATTATCCATAAATGTATTGTTAGCAAAACGTTTCGGCTGGGTAAAGCCTTTATCAATGGCACATAATAAGAAAACAGTCAAACAACTGAAATAAAACTAGCCTAAATCTCTAACAAGAATGTAAACTTGAAAATAAATATCATATAGCACCGAAACAGATTATTACAATAAGGAACGTTTTACTTTAAACTCTATAATTTATTTGATTGCGTGGTCTTAGGTTGTGAGATTTAGGATCGTTCAATTGATCCGACTCCGCTCAGTGAGCTCTATCGAACCATGTATAAATATTGCAGAAATAAAATGCGCTGCAATGTATACAAAATGTAATGTACGATGGTGTAAAGTATACAAATTACAAAATATTATATATAGAATATGCACACTAAATGTAATTTGCATTTCCAGCACCTTATACTACATCAGATAATCACAGAAAGTTGTTACTTTAAATATATAAAAGACTGATCGAGCGTTTGAAAGAATCTTTTAAATCCTATATTCAGCAAGATGTCTGAAAACTTTTCTTTGTAAGAAAAGATGCTCCCAAGTCTTGGCTATTAAATAGTAAAGATCATACATCTCTGTTACATATGTAACAATGACAGTCAACTTTAACTGCGAAAATGTAGAACTATAAAACTAATACATTTGATAATGTAACTGCAAGGGAAACCGTCAAAAATAAGTCTACGGGTAGATACAGAACAATATCATTCTTTCCTTTTTCTTTCTCTGGCTTTGCTGAATGGTAGAAATTGGATACAGTAGCGGATTTAGGGTGCTGGCGGCCGCCAGCACCGAAATTTTTGATTTCATACGATTATACTCTCCTTCTTGTACAACATAGTCATAAAGGAAAAGAAGTAAAAATCGTGTCGTCTAGAAACTCCTAAGCAAGGTTGCTAAACGTGCTCGTTTGTCCAAATTCGCCAGCACCGAAAAAATTTTCTGGATCCGCCACTGATCGGATACATTTCTATGTGCAGAATAGAACAAATGTTCATTTTTTATTATCAGTTACACAATCTAACATAATTTAAAGCTGAACTGTATTCGACCTGACCACGTAACGGTGTCCTTTTATGTCACAGTCGACATACAAAATCTGACAAAAATAAAACCGCCAACTTTTAGAGCATGCTCGACTACCTGTTGAACGCTGGTTAGAATTTTTGTGTTGCGTTTCTTTAATAAGATACTATAGCAGAAAGTAATGGGTGTCTATGAGAAAAATCTGTCACTATAGACACACCATGTGTTCAAATACTTACGTATGATTCTGTTGTTATTATATTTGTTTTCTTTTTACGTATATCAAAAGTAACAATGTTAACGTATATTTTGAACTATATTTGGCTTTATTTTTCTCTTGCTATCTTTATGTAGAGAAGAAATCAAATATGGTCACTGCATGTGTCA